GTCTCCGTTGCTCCCTGCGCGGTCGGCACCACCTTCATGATGGCGCGGATGCTCTGACTGAAGCAGTCGCTGATGCTGTCCGAGTGCTGCTGCGAGGTGACCCCGGGTGTGCCCAGCGCCAGCGTCTGCATGTGGCTGAACAGACCAAACGTGTCGTTGATCAGGTCGGGGGAGTACCGCGACGACATCAGGGTGGCGATGTGGCGTGTCAAGTTGCAGATCAGCGTCAACTCCTCGGCGCTGTAATCGGTCTCCAGGACGGTGGCGTGAACTAGTGTCTGAGCTCTGCCAGTGTCATTACCTATCGTCTGCAATGACGAGTTCAGCAGCAACGTCAGCCGAGATGAGAACACACAGCTGTTCAGGTTTGCCGGCTGCCACGCGGCTTCCCTGCTGCTGTCGGTACGCCTGCACTCTCGAGAGGCGTACTTAAACTGGTCCGGCGGAGCGTTAGGGCACTCCAGGCGGGCCGTCGAGCCCCCCGGGCTGCTGAACCAGGTCAGGTTGCCCCCGGCGCCGAGGTCGGTGGGCGTAGTACTCGCCGGACACCAGCCGTCGCAGGTGGTCCGCTGGCAGAGCTTGGCGACGCACTGTGGCGCTGCACCGCTCCAATGACCGTCCGGCATGCACACACGCTTGCGTGTGGACCCTACCAAGATGTGAGTGTCTGGGCACGAGATGTTCACACTGTTGCCCAGTGTAGTCGCCGGCACTGCCGGTGTCAGGATGAGACCGTCGACGGCAAGTGTTGCCATGCCGCAGTCCACTGGCACACAGCGCGCGGAGAGGTCCGACCAGTTGCCATGGTGTTCGCACACCGTACGGGTGGTGCCCATGACGACGTAACCGTGGCGACACGAGAACGACGCCACGCTGCCGACGACGAGGCTTGTTGCCGTGACAACCACAGCGTTGCCGACGGCTGGCGTTCCGCAGGAGACAGGTTGGCATGAGGGCATGGATGCACCCCATACGCCATTGGACATGCAGACGACACTGCGCGGGCCGACCAGCACGAAACCAGGGTCACAGCTGAAGTGAAGGGCACCGCCAAAGTCGCGGTGTGTGGTATTGAAACTGCCGTTCAGGATGGACACCGGCGTCGGACACTGCTTGCGGATGCAGAGCGGTGCGGACGTTGTCCAGGTGCCGTTAGCCTGGCAGGTGGCATTGCGCATGCCGATGAGTCGATAGCCGGGGCTGCAGAGGAAAGTGATCTCGGACTGGTAGAGGAACGTGCCCACGATACTGACCATGCCGTCGGCGACGCGATGGCCGCCGATGTTACAGGATACCGGCGAGCCGCAGGAAATTGGGACGCACTGCGGCACCGGCTCAAGGATGGTACGCAGCGCTGTGCACTCCACGCGATTGACGGCCAAGTCGACCTGGTAGCCCGCATCGCAGACCACGTGTGCCATTGCGCCGAACGCCAGCGTGCTGAAGAGCGGCTCGATGTGGCCGTGGTTGATGCTGAGCACGGACAGGTCGCACTCCACCGGCCGGCACTTCAACAGCGTGTCGTTCCAGTAGCCGCCCGCCTGGCAGCCGAGCACCCGGCCCCCGCTGCTGTGCTCGTAGCCGCGTACACAGCTGTACAGTATACTGTCCCCGTAGGCCAGGCCGCCGGGGCTGCTGGAGAAGACGAACCGCTGCGTGTTGGGCGCGGTGCCCGGGTCCATGCACGGCTGTCGGTGGCAGTTCAGCGCCATGCCGCTCCAGGTCTTGTTGGCCAGGCACTGGCGGGTGGAGCTGCCGCTCAGCGTGACGTAGCCCGTCGCACAGCTGTAGTGTGCCGTCTGGTTGAACGTCAGTGATGGTGGTTTGACTGAACAAAAAAAGAAAAAAGAAAAAAAGATCGCACCAGACACAGCAGAACCTAACGTAAGCAAACATGCATTAGCAGTTTGTTGTGGGATACCAACATGCCTACAGACAAAGCAACGGGGTGGGGTGGCAGAAGCGAAGGCAATATCAAAGTGATTACAGTGCATTTCAAAACTATAGACGCGTAGGGTTTTTGAAATATTTCAAATTTGGCTGGAACTTTTTGAGAATAGTTTTCGGTATATTGCTCAGGATCGCTCCACAATTACTCTCATATAGTTTCTAAAGGATTGGATAACAGACGCCCAATTTGGAAAATTTTATGCACAAAGTGATCACAGATTTTATGTGGTATAGATGCGGGCATAACGGTTTTTGCCTAGGTACGCGTCTATAGTTTTGAAATAGACTGTAGCTACTGTGCCTTTGTTGTGCCAGGAGATGTTGATGTGTCGGGAGTTGTCCGTCCAAAAACCCAAAAAAAGAAAAAAAAGAAAAAAAGAAGAAAAAAAGAAGAAAAAAGAAGCTTCTGAGAATCATAACATCATAGACAAGCCATGTGTTGATGGACACAAACCATCAAGAGACTCGATACCTCATCATCAGCAACCAACACAGCCACCACCCGGATTCGAACCGGGGATCTCCTGTTTACTAGACAGGCGCTTTAACCCCTAAGCCATGGCGGCAAGCACACAACTAGCAAGTTCTGATCACCTCTTATCACAACACAGTCACAACATACATACACTCGAGAGTCCATAACCATACATGTAGCTGTGGCCTGAAAGTTACTTCGTATGGAACTTAGGCTGCGTTTACACGACAACGCTGGGGGCGAAAACGCAACGAAATCCTTTCGGATCCATGGTTCATTTACACGGTACGCGGAGCAAAACGTAAAAGTTGGACACCGAAACGGAAGAAAACCAAAACGCTGGCCAAGGTGGAAGAATTTGAAAAGGGAAATGTTGTGCCGGATAAATTTGGGTGTGTAAACAGTCGAAACGGTGTGCTGGGCCTGCTGGCCTTGTTTTCCGTCACGTTTGTTTTGTTTTCGGCAGTTTACACGGATCCGACAATCCAAAAAAATGTTTTTACAATTTTCGTCATGTGACGTGTGTTGTCGTGTGCCTGTTTTCAAACATTACTTGAGTGTGATTGGTGCTTCCACGGCAACACTTGGCACATGACAAACTTTGGCGGGTTCTTTGCTCTCGTGTAGACGCTTGAAAACGATACAAATGGAGACCACTTCGGATCGGCTTTGATCGTGTAAACGTACGAAAACGAAAGAAGAAATGCGGGACTGAAAACGGAAAACTGGCCGTGCGTTGTCGTGTAAACGCAGCCTTAGTTCATGCACAAAAACTTGGAGTTCGCACCTGTACTCGAACAGCAAAATTGGATATGCCGCCGGTATGAGAGACTTTCGGTTTTAGTGGATGAGTGTCGCACAATCTTGGCTGAGCACTCTTAGAGAAATCCGCACTGCCCAATTGATATCCGAGAAAAAACGTCAGAGATGATACTCATGCACCCAACGGTTTGACTGAAATAAATACGGTGCGCTTTCTAAGTTACCTACCGACAGCGGTATTGGGAAGCACGGCGTAGTTGCCACACTCGATGGGCATACACAACGGTGTGGGACGTGACCAGACCAGTGACGAGGTGCAGGTCAGTCGCGACACGGCACCAGGCGCCAGCAGATAGCCAGCGTTACAGGTGACATCCACGCTGGCATCGAATGTCTTGTTGTCGCTACTGAGAGCACCGTGGCTGGGGGCTAGCAGCGGGCTGCACATGAGAGGTTGACAGTAGGGTAGCGACGCCGACCAGGTACGACTGGACGTGCAGGTGATGGAGGAGGCACCGACCAGGGAGAAGCCCGGCCGGCAGCTGTAGTGCAGCGACTCGGCGAATGATAGGTTCCCGCCACTGCGCACGGCGTTAGCAGTATGGCCTGGATCTGCGCACTGGATAGCTGCAGATGGGCGGAGAGACAAACATGACATTATCAGAACAAGAACTGTAAATCGATGACATCGCCAAAAGTAAAACTGTTTAAAAAAAATGAAAATGAAATCACCGGATACAGAACTGATGACGATGAAATCACCGGGAGCAAAATGTATGACGATATCACCAGGCAGAAGTAGAATTTTGCATCTTTTGTATCCAGTGTTCACCGGCTCTATCTTACGCAAACCTAAATGTAATTTATTGACCGGCTCCACACTGCACAGTCCGATCGAGTGACCAGCTTCACACCGCACTATCTTGTCTAAACCAGCAATAAGAGAAGAAAGGCAGCAGCCTGGTGCAGTAACTTACGTCGACAGTTTGGCGAGGCGTGCGACCAAACTTCATTACTGGTGCACGTGACATTATCTGGATTCTTGCCATCCAGCTCAAAGCCGGAGTTGCATCGGAAGACGGCCACGTCGCCGAAACGATAGCCGTGATTTACGCCGAGGAATCCGTTGGCGGGCGGTGACGGCGGGTTGCAGAACTTGCGCGAGCAGATCAGACCGCGACCGGACCACGAGCCGCTCGCTAGGCAATAGCGCACCGTGTCGCCGTACACCGTCTGGTGTCCGACGTCGCAGGACGAGCGCAGCGGTGCTCCGTTGTACTCGCCCAGCAGAGTTGGCAGCTGTTGCAGCACCTGGCTGTTGGGCTGCGGAACGGCGCACTTCACCGGGCGACAGCGCGGGAACGGCGCGGACCACGTCTGGTTGTGCTGACAACGCACACTCAACGCGTCCCCGGTTACGTAGCCGTCCGCACAGGCAAACATGATCGCATTCGTAACGGTAGTGTTCGACGTGCTCGTCCGGTGTTCGTCGGTGTTGTTAGGCGGTGGGCACTGCTGAGGCAGGCAGCGCGGTGTGGTGCTGTTCCACTGGCCGTTCTCCATGCATGCCAGTACGTGTGCACCGACCAGGGTGAATCCCGTTGGACAGGAGAACACCACACTCGTGTTGTAGATGTTTTGAGAGCCAGTGAGCATGCCGTATGGCTGAGCGGTGAGAGCACGGCACTGGACAGCTGTAAAGCCAACAGCAAATGTCAAGACAAGACAAGACAGAACAATAGAGAGGGAACGGTATCATACGGGTGCATGGTGGTCCAAATGTGTGTGTGTGTGTGTGTGTGTGTGTGTATGC